CCTATATTACTCAGTTTTGTCTGTCAGTCTTCAGATAACTATGTAATCCATCTTTCATTCTCTGCTATCACGGTGTCTATATGCTTCTCTTATCTGCATTCCCCGCCTCGTATCTTTCCATTTTACAATCTGAACAAAACTCGGTGGCTGTAATTCTGTTGGAGAAATGTGTCTCTGTCTCTCCTATCAAATCCCTCTTGTAAACTTCCCATTTAATTTATTTTCTCTAAAGGCACGTTAAAAATAGGGGATTGGATGAAACAGATCAGCTTTGGTGAATCTATTACAAAACACTGCTAGAGATTATTTATAATGTAAAGAAAGTCGCGTTATAAGTGAGAGTTTTATGATCTAAAAAGTAGAATATTTTTAACAATATAGCACAAAGTGTAAATATGGATCCCACAAGGCGCAGAGTGTTTTTTATTTTACAAGGCCAGTCTTTATTTATTTCAATATATCCCAAAATTAAGGACTTTTACAAACATAGCTATGCAAAGGTGTCCTACCAAATTGTTGGCATTGCCAGACTCCATTTCGTTAATAATTTCAAAAAAGTATCACCTTTTGATGATTTTGGTGTTATTTTTAATAATAATATTAATATATAATAATAACAACTACATAATATAGTTTTGTATAATATGCGCATCTTTAACAAGATTCAAATTTGTTTTCATTTGTTATTAGTAAATAGTGATGTCGCGAACCCGAAATTTTCGGTTCGCGAACGGCGAACGCGAACTTCCGCAAATGTTCGCGAACCGGCGAACCGCCCGAAACGCCATTGACTTCAATGGGGAGGCTAATTTTAAAACACACAGGGACTCTTTCTGGCCACAATAGGGATGGAAAAGTTGTTTCAAGGGGACTAACACCTGGACTGTGGCATGCCGGAGGGGGATCCATGGCAAAACTCCCATGGAAAATTACACAGTTGATACAGAGTCTGGTTTTAATCCATAAAGGGCAGAAATCACCTAACATTCCTAAATCACAATCAATATGGATTGACACCTGACATATGACATATTGACACCTTGACATATGGATTGACACCTGTCCTCAGAGCCCCTGATGCACACGGACACAGAGCAGAATAGAGACTGGTCCCCCTACATAGGGTCACTTGGCAGATATGGATTGACACCTGTCCTAAGGATCCCTGATACACACTGACACAGAGCAGAATAGGGACTGGTCCCCCTACATCGGGTCACTTGGCAGATATGGATTGACACCTTGTTACAAACTGCTATTTGTAACGGGCCCTTTAAATGGCAAATTGCCCTGCTTCCCTGGGTTGTGGAGAAGCCTCTTTGCCAGCCTCCTCCCGCATGACTATGGCCCCTGGGAGATTGTGAAAATGTATGCACTTTTATTTGGTGTGTGGCCCTTTAAGACTGTCGGTGGGCATATTGGGGCTTATGGACTCTTTATGTGACTGGTGCTGGCCCTTTAAACACCTTTTGGGACATCAGGAAGATTGGGACACTGCGCCTTTAAGGCCGTGTCCCCAGACTTGTTGGGGACACGGCCCCTTTAAGACGGTGTCCCCTGTGTCCCCAGACCTGGTGCAAATCCTTTGTGCCTGCCTTGCTA